CGCCGCTCCTCCCCTCCCCGCGGGGAGCCGGGCTGCCCTTGCGCTTTCTGCCCGAGGCTGTACGGTGCTATGCCAGCCGGCTGCCCGCGGGCCTCCCTTCTCTCCCCGCGGGCCTCCCTTCTCTCAGCGCGGCGTCCTCGGGGTAGAGCTGGGTGAGGGAGCCGGCAAGGCAGCGTCTGAAAAGCAGCTGGTTAAAACAGCTGTTCGCGGCAGAAATGGTTGGCTTTCTGCCTGCCTTCTCTGTAGGGAACTGGGGTTTGCAGCCCAGAGGACTGGGTGGGATCGGCTGGGGCTTGAGGCAGAGCTGCACGGGAGGTTGTCACACTGTGACTGTCAAAATCTCAGGAAGGGAAGTGCTGTCCTGAAGGCTAAAAGTTTGGATTCCTTTTACGGTCTCATAGGCGACCTTGACATTTTGGCCACGGCCTGTAAGCATACTCAAGTACCAAAAATTATATTTAAAGCTTGTATTTGGCCCTTTGTTGCCAAAACAGAACCAATTTTTAGTTAAGTGGATGGTGCACCTCCTCCTCTGTTGAGTAAAGTGGGAGATGACAAGATTTGTTGCTTGCTGAAGGTGAGAAAGGAATTTCACATAGTTTTAATGGGAGCGGTATGTCTCTTCAAGAAGAAGATGGTTCTGGTTTACTGGGGATGTTTGAGGTTTAGTTCAAATCAGTGTTCATAAATTGCTTCAGGTATGGATTGTAAAAGTAAATTTCAAATGGCAAATAGGTTCTGGTTAGTGAAGAAGACAAAATCCTGCTGTCCTGGGAAAGAATCTCTGAGCAGGTCTGTATTACACAGAAACACAGAGCTTTAAGCAGTGCCACTCAGTCGGGAGATATTGACGTAGGTTGTGAAAGCTGTATAGCTCTATTAAATTATGTAGTCTGGAGTTGTGTTGCATTATGACAGTTCCATGCCATATGGAGGGTCCTTTACTGTTTTTGAATCAGTGTGAGGGTCTTTCTAGCCTGCTTACTTTGAGTCTCATAGTTATCCTTAAAGCTCAAGTTTTTTTTGTAATATAGGAGGCATTGGGCACCTAGCCATAGATGGTGATATATTGTGACAGATCTTGTACAGTTATGGAACAAGAAAAGGTGTACACCAGTAAAGAGCTTACAGCATAAGGCGAGAACAACAGGTGTATACACAGAGGTGGGAGAATACAAGACAGTAATTGGATGTTATTTGTTAGTGTGACAGCGATAGCATCCTGAAGAGCATTGTCAATAATTTTTTTTTTGCAGAATGAACAGCAAAAAAGCCATAAAGCAGTTGAAAGATATGTAGATTTTTTTTCACATTAACATTCTTGTCCTTCCATGGGTTGATCTGTTTAATAATATTTTTTTCAACAGGTGCTCACAGTGGACTAAAATCTTGTTGCTTTTAGGTTTTATATTGTAAGGACCGAAATGTTCCTACCTAAAAGTAACAGAAATAGTGTTAATTTTGTAAATGTGGATATTATGTAGTTTTGGGGTTTTTTACAAATCTTTAGAAAGAGAAGTGTACATAAACAAAGTACTGAGGAGTATTGGTCATCAAGCTTTCTGTTTCACCATCTCAGCACACCATGTAGCTTTTTTGCATACTTGAAGGAATCCTGCTGGTTATGAAAGCCCAGCAATTTTTCTATACATCTGCTTTTCCTAAAAAATAAATTAAATAACAAAACTCTATTAGAATGCTAATCAAGGTAACAAGTTCATCCAACTGCCTCCCTCAGTGTTATCCTTTACCTTGCACTTGTACTGAGCTTGGTTGATCTCCACTCTCCGGGTACCCATTACATAGCTGCAGGCTGTATTCTGCACAGATCATTCAGTATACACTCTTGATTTCATTTGCAAGTTTGTTCTGTTGTTGTCATTTAAAAGAATAAAGAAAAAACCCAACCTTCCTCTCCAAGAGTTTTAGATGTAAAAACGTATAGGCTCTATGTTTGTGTAGTCTGTGTCAGATAACATTGTAAGGATAGCATGATAATGTGTTTTAAGATTGAAATGACTATCTTCACCTTCGTTCTAATTCTGCAGAAGCATACACAAAAATTTTAGAGGGCAATGTTAAATTAACTGGATGATAGAAAAAACAGAGAGTGAAGATAGGTGGTAAATATGGCAGTGATGAGTTGGCATATTTAAAATGTCAGTTTGAGGTATTATAAAGTTTAATATGAACATATTGTGTCACTTTTAAAACTTCATGTCTGGTGTTTAGACATTAATCGGGTGCTATAGGAGTGTGTACTTCTATTGAACTCCAGCAGATCTTTGACAAGTGGTGTGGGGTTTGGGCTTTTTTTTGGTGGTGGTGGTGTTTTATTTGGTTGGTTGGTTTTTAATGGGTGTTTATCATAGGGTGTATTTTCCTTCTTTCTCATAGTTAGTTTCAAGGTCTCTGCTTCAGTAATGGAGAGGCCCTGCATATCTGCCACTTTAAGTCAGATACCATGCCCAGTTTCTGAGCTTGGACCAGTTCATGCCCAGTTCCCGAGTTTGGACCTATTTTGTAGGAGAGTTGCTTTTTAAGAAGCCATATACCTACTTGGAAGTTGGCATAGGTAATATCTTATTTTGTCCTGTTTCTATCAGCCAATTGGACTATAGTTTCTATATTAGTTTGATATGTACAAGTATATATGTGTGATTGCTTTATTTAGTTAAGTGGTTGTCAAACTGCCTCTCAGGACAAAATTGGAGATGTATCTTTTATTATTGCAATTTCTGGCATATGGAGAGAGGAGGGATAGACAAGCTTTTGGTAGAGAAACACCTCCTTCAGGCACTGAGATCTTGCTGGATTTTCTGGTTTGAATTCTATCAGCTGATCTAACAAAATAGAATTTACGTCTAAACATACCCCATCCTTTTTATCTCCTTAACATCATGGCTACGACATCAGTGCCACTGTGCTGGTAATACCTAACCATATTGGGATAAAACGTACTCCTTCAGTGTACAAGTGATATTTTTCTGTTGTTGTTTCCCAATGCATCCGTCATTCTGATATCAAATTACTGGTCTTGTTATCATTATGATTCTTGCTACTTAATTTTATATGGGGAAGATGAAACTTGCTTATTCTTTTCCAGAAAATGCCATGACTTACTAAAAGTTGGAAGGTCAGTTACTGGATTTCTGTTACATCCTCAAGCTAGTTTTCCAATGACAGCTCTTACAGGCTGCTCTTGTCAACAACCAGATGTCTGTAGTGTGTTAATGCACTCTGTTCCTTTCTTTTTATGAGCGTGGACACACAGTAATGTTAAGCACTTCTAATTTTAAAAATCTCTTACAAGCGCTTTATTTCTTTTGGCCAACTTCGTTGGAGAAGACATGTTTCTTCTCTTCAAACTCCCTGTTGGAACTACCTTGCCAATTTATGTCAATATCTTACTAATGTCCTAATGTCCTCTGTACTAATGTTTCCGTGGCTTTCAACTTTTCATAGCTGCTTTTGAAAAGGAGCAGCTTTGAGGCAATATTCTGTGCATCATGGATCTGGCTCTTTGCATCTCTTCATTACCCTTCACTCCAGAGCTATGATATAGGAGGCTTGCTGCCTCCTCCAACATTTGGGTCTGCTATATTTAGACTGAGGTAGAAAGTTTGGTTATCTGCACTTGGAGTGATTCTGAGATCTTTGTCCTGCAGTTCCCAGATCCGGGAGCAGGATGTGGATGTACTTGGGTGGGACCTGCCTGTAGCAAGTATTCTTTATTTGCATGACCTCTGGGCTTCACCTTATACATCAAGTACTAATGCTAGCCAGTTAAGCTTTACTTGCTGTTTAGGAACCGATAACCTTAGTCTGCTCCTTTCATGTCTTAGTTTGGTCTTTGGCTTTTATCAACAGCTCCCTCAAGCCTACTGTCCTCTGACCTGTCCGGATGTCTCTGAAATAGCCTGGCAGGAGTCTTGACGTGGGAAATTTTGCTGAGGGAGATAAGAGAAAATGGATTCATAATGAGAAAAATAACATTAACTGTGGTTTGACGCTGATAAATTTTAGCTTATATCACATGCTCTATCCTGTTTTGTGTTGTAGGCCCTGGCATTTCTGTGTTAGCTGCAGCACCATCTGTGTTGCATCGGCACCGCCAAGTTCATCATGCGGTGATCCCCCATGGAAGAAGTGGACGATCCTCTGTTAGTGGCATCGTGGCCACTGTCTTTGGGGCTACAGGTTTCCTGGGACGATACGTTGTCAACCGTTTAGGTAATGTTCCCCAGGAGTACTAATAAAAAAAAAAAAGTGTTTAACAAAACTCTAGTTTTTCTTCAGGTTGCAGGATAATCTAGAAATCTCTGGCATTTGGCATCTTAAAAGTGAAGAAGTGTTTTGTGTGATAATATCATAGTGTTTGGTCTGCTAAAGTGCCAAGATGTGACAATTAGTAAAAGCTACTTTAATCTAGGAAATTTAGAAGCTTTAGAACATGGTTAAAGTAATTAAAATAAGTCATTCTCCTTCAAGTATTCTTTTTCCTCTCTGTAAAATGCAGAGTGGAAATACAGCACATATTTGATTCTTCTGGTTTTGGCCTTATTAGGACATTTTACTAAAATGTTTGCAGGAATCTGGTTGGAATTTTTTAAAATTGCCCTTTTGAATTTGAGTTTTAGAAAATCAGTCTTGCTTTTCTTTTTTTTTTTTTCCTTCTCTCCACATAATTTAAAAAAATGCAAATATCCTTAGATGTGACACATTTTTAGGTATTATGCTATTTTATAGCACACACTGATTTTCTTGTTGTTGTTTGTTAACAAGTTTATATTGTTTGTCTTACAGACTTCTGCGTTTTGTCTTACAAGCTCAAATATTCAAGTATGTCCCTGCTTAAGAATTCCAGTGATATAGGTTCAAAAACTTACTTCTGTGCTACTTTTAGCTTTGCAGATAACTATTCAAGATATCTTTGTGTATTTGTTGTGCTTTACTGCCAGGGGAAAAAAGAAGTTTTGTATATTCGGAAGTTCACCTACTTAAAGATACGTAGTAGCTTGAGGTAAATGAAACTTCTTTTTTTGAATGCTTAGGTCGTATTGGATCTCAAGTAATCATACCCTATCGCTGTGATCAGTATGACCTCATGTATCTGCGACCGATGGGTGACCTGGGGCAACTTCTCTTCTTAGTAAGTCTTTTGCTTTGGCTTTAGATCAAATACAATACCATTGCTTTACAAGGAAGTCTGTTAATCATTCTCAAAGTCAGAACTCCAGCTATTGTTTAGCCTCTAAATGGAAATGGTGTGAAAGATCTTTCTTTGATTATGCGTATTTACACATTATCTCATCTTTTTCCCATTTGATGCTCTGGTTACAGGAGTGGGACTGTAAGGACAAAGACTCTATCCGAAGAGCCGTGGAACACAGCAATGTGGTCATTAATCTTGTTGGAAAGGAATGGGAAACAAAGTAATTTTCCTTTTTTTTTTCTTTCTTTCCTATATAGATAGATTTGTACCAGGTATTGGATATTGTGTCCACATTTTACAGCGTACGTACAGTATGTAGTTACATTGACATTATTCTTGGCTTCTACAAAAAAGCGAAACTGAAATTTTGCATATAAAAGCACTTCAGTTTCTTTAAATAGTTAGCTAGAATCCTGGTTATGATGTGCTTTTGAAAAGTGCATTTTTTCTATAATTTTCTAGCGTACAGCTTTTTTTCTGTCAGAGTTCTGTGTATTGCTTTCATGCACCTTACAGATTTTTGGTGAGTGCCTTCCTATAGCTGCCAGAGGCTCACAAGTTTCTGTGAGCTCATATTTACATTGTTACAGAAGTGGGCTTTTATCCTGTCACTTCGGTGTAGTGATGAATTGTAGCCTACTAGAATAAGCTGTGATTAAGCTTTTCCTATTCTCTGGTAAATGTTAATAAACAGGAGTAGCTAATGGAGAATCCCTAAGATTATGATTAATAACACCATTCATTGATAGAATTTTGGCACAGACATTAATAGTTGCATAAGCATTTTTTTGTAATAATTTTTAAAAATAGTCCCTTTTTAAAATCCACTTAAAAAATTCCCTACTTATTTTAGGTTAAAAAATACCTGTAATAGCCTCATTTTTTTTTGTGTGTGTGTATGCATGCAATTCTGTCCACTTTATTTAAAGCCTTGTGCAGAACTGCCAGACAAAGACTCATTAGTTGTGTGATTTGCCTTTATACGGTACATAATTTTGCTATCATAGTAGACAGAAACAAATGTAGATATCAGTTTCATCTGTATTTACAAGCCTAATGCCTTTGTTGTTCTTTTTTTTGTGAGCAGCCATTTGGTGTTCTATTCTCAAATTGTACAATTATTTTTCCTAAAACAGTATTTCTGTTGGCAAGCACCTATTTCAGCTGTTTCTTGTCTAGTCAAATATCATACATAACTTCTGGAAGACATTTTGATTCCGCATTCAAATTTGTAGAGGTACTTTCTTTTTCTGATAGTCATTTAGCTCTTTGTCCCGCTGTTGGAGTCTATAACATAGTTTAGCTGGGGAAGAGCCCACCCAACCTCAATTAACTTGTGTATCCGATAAGGTTTTCGATTTCTTTTTATGTCTTCTTCAGACTTCGGGATATAAGTAAAAATGTACAAACCAATGTCTCAGGATAGGTTTGTGCTGCTGCTAAATTATGAACATAAGAGTTCTAACGCCTATTGCTGTTAGAACCGAAGAAATTTCTTCATAATGTGGGAGCGAGGGAAGAAAAAGTCTGTACAGTTGGACCAAGGACAATATAATATCTTTTTATGTTTCAGATAGGTATTTCATGTGTACTTCCCTCTTGAAAATTTCTGGACTTCTGTAAAAAATATGATTTATGTAAGGGGGGGTTTCTTTGTTATTGAAAAGAAGTACAACAACAAAAAGCTTCATTCTAGTTAAAAAGCCCCAAACCTTGTCACTCTAGTCGGTTTCAACAGATTCAAAAGCAGAGGATTCTTGGTATGTGTTAGGGACTTTCATATGTTCTAAAACCTCTGTATTTCACAAATGTTCTTATTTATTTTATCTACCATGTTGATAGCCATGGTGGTGCTGGATCCCTGAGATAAAATTCTGTGGTCTGTTAAACATGAGGTCGGACTAACCATTGTAATCATCCTAAAGTCTATGAAAACCTTAAAGAGGGGGGGAAAAAAAAAAGAGTAAGATTAGAAGTAGAAGTCAGTTTTTTAAAAAAAAAAAAAGAAAAAGTAAAGCCTGCCATTAAATCCTTTCGTCTTTGCCTAGTATTAGTGTACAGTCTCATCTGTGTATACTATGTTGTTTGAAAACTCCATAGTTACAGGCGGGATGTTGTTCGTTCTTGTGTGTTTCTAAAATCTATTTTTGTGAGTAGAACAGGAGTGATGGTTCCCAGGATCAGATTAGTTATTGAAGGGTCAAAAATAACTTTTTATTTTTAAGGCTTTCTTTAGACTCCAGTGGGATCTGAAGAGCTGTGGGAGTAGATAAGGACAAAGAGAGAGGCATTTGGACAAGATGTTTGTTACCCAAAGCAAACAAAAAAGATGGAGCAGAGTGCTTACAAGGACAGTATAAAGACATGAGAAGCCAGTTCTCTTTCTTGAAGTCTTGGGATATTTGGAAAGAATTTTGGGATTGTTGTGATCCTATAATGTCAGGTCTGCTTGGAGACCGAGCTTCTGTATTATTCTTGGTCAGATGCCAAACTAGATTACAGTTGAGCCCCCTAATTTAGGCCCCTTGAATGCCATAAAGTGAGGTGTTCCGTCTGCATGCGTCTGCTTGAAGTCCATTACAGCTGCTATGAAGTGGTTCTAACTGTTCTGTCAGTGTTCCATTTGCATAAGCACCTGTGAGTTCTTTGGTCTGTTTTTGTACACTTTCCCAATGCCTCACATCTGCTGTAACTTACGCTGCTCAGAATTTTTGAGCTCCTTTGTAGTGTAATTGAGTGCAATTGAGTCAGATTTTGAACAGGTGTTGTAAAAAGACCGCTTTGCTCAGATTTCAGGATGCAGCACTTCTCTTAAAAAGATAATCTGTTTTCACTTGGGAAGAGTTTCCTGTTTGTCACAGACAAGGGGGCAAGAGGATTTTTCATACTGATTTAATCTTAACAGGTGAAAAAGCAGACAGTGCCATTGCTGTAATTGAAGCTTACTGTTGCATTTCACTTGCCTGACATTTTTATTGTATGAAGAGTCCCTCATAAAGGGAAACCTTCTAGCAAAGCATGAAGATAAGTTTTTGAAATATATTCAAGTAATATGTAATGATTGCTACTGGTTGGTAGGAAACCACTGTTGATTGCTATTAGATTAAAATTTGTTCTTTGCGTTGTTTTAGAAACTTCAAATTTGAAGATGAATTTGTAAATATTCCTAAAAGTATTGCGCATATAACTAGGGAAGCTGGTGTGGAAACACTCATTCATATCTCTCACCTGAATGCTAGCATGAAGAGCCCTTCCAAATACCTCAGGACTAAAGTAAGTCTGCAATCCTTTTGAATATGTTTTCTGAGCGCCTACTTTTTTATTATTTTGCTGGTTTTGTGTGTTCCCGCCCCCCGCCCCCGAACTGGGTCTGTTTGAAGGAAATCAGCATATGAATTTACTATGGAATGTTTTCTGCAGCTGAGGCATTTTTGAGTTACTGTGCTTACTGGAGCTAGAAATCTTCCTTAGTACTTCATGTACTTTGAAGGGAAATAGATCCTGTATGCCTGAAAATTCTTTCTTTCTTCTATCCTTGAATATCTTTGCATCTAAAATTACTGTCATTAAGGAAGAGAAACTAGTTTGATGGTTTGGGATCCAATATCAGGCCTAACATCTAAGGCTGGAATGACCTAGCAAAGTAAGTAGTTGATGCCAAAATGAACACTGCAAAGACAGATGAATATCATGGTTACAGACTCTTGGAGTGGGATTGTTACCTGCTTTTGTACAAAAAAAATACCTGGTTTTGATATCCTATTATTTTTTTCCATATTAAGAGGTATAATTTTCTATTACTGATTTTCTCTTTTGAATGTAGCTGTTGTCCCAGTTTCAGCTATTTTTGTTTTGTTCGACCTCGCTGTACTCTGCCTTGTCTTTTACTATAAATTTTTTTAAAACCAGGGTTAAAATTTTGTAGGTCTCAATGTGTAACAACTCTATAGGATAGTTAGGCCTTACTGTATTGGCCAGTTCCATGTGGAAAGTAGATAGCTGTCACTGAAATTTCTAGCTGTACTTCAGTAGTTCTTGGAGTATTCTGATAGTGTAGTAGGAGTTACGTAAACCTTCTGTTTTCTTCCAAGCTCTGGTCTGACATAAGCAAGAGAAGTACTTAGGTTAGGCTTCTTCCTTTTTGAACTTTGTCGCTTTAAATTTATGTCACATTACTAGTGAGACTGTATTGAACCTCAAATAGAAGAAATCATCTACATGTTTATGGGACTTTTGGGACTTGCTGTGAGACCTTTATCTTAGTATAGCATGTCAAAGATCAAATGGCTCAAATATAAATAATTTTTGTGCTACTGATGGTGTCATTTCTTTAAGTGCTGTAGTCAGGATGCATTAAGTTCTGAAAAAGGCATTCTCTTCTGGTCTGTTCGGAATGGATCTAATGGGTGTGTTCATTTTAATTGAATGATAGGCTGTTGGAGAGAAAGCAGTGAGGGAAGAATTTCCAGATGCTATAATTTTGAAGCCCTCTGAGATGTTTGGGAGAGAAGACCGATTTCTCAATCATTACGCAAGTATGTACTCTTGAAATAGTAAAACCATGTATGATTTATATACCTGTGTAGAGAACAGAGGGAAAATGTGACTTGATTTTGAAAAGCAGAGAGGTATGTTTTTATCAGAAATGTGCTGTATTTTCTTAACTGCATGTGTATAATGGAAACATAATAAATTTTCATCTTGTGACTGAATTCTTTCTGAATCTGGTTAGACTTTGGTGTTTGATTCCCCCACCCCCAGGGGGGTGGTATACTACTGTTGGTTTTGGTTTTTTGTTTCTTTGCTTTTTATTTAGATCGTTCTGAGCTAAGGTCTGGTCGTTTTAACCCTGAAAGTATTTTTTCAAGTTGGTAATGCTGGAATGTAAAAATCGGCCTGAGTTGTTCTGGGCTCAGAAGCAATGACTGATATGTCACAAACAAAATTGCTGGACAGGGTAGAGTGGAATCTGTTTCTGTTTTGCAAAGTTGAGATACCTCTGAACCACTATAGGTAAACAGTAGTAAATACAGCCTTCCCAGGATTGTTCATAAGAAAACTAAACATGCATTGAAAACAGCGCTACTGAAATTGGATGGTAATTCTTCCCAATTCTGTTGTTTGTTTGCTGTTTTTTAAAGTTAAGTCAGTTTTCAGAAGAGATTCACACTCAGTGTGGTGCAGAATGTATTGGTTAGGTGCTTACTGAACGGATTCACAGATTTTATTCTCAAGTGTCATATGTGTCTTTCTATTAGACATGCGGTGGTTTGGTGGTGTGCCTCTTATTTCTCTGGGCAAAAAAACAGTGAAGCAACCAGTATATGTAAGTTTTCAATGAAACAAGACAATCCCACATCCTCTGTGTGTGTGTATTGTTTTTTTTTTTAACTTCCCCCCCTGTAAATCACTTCTGAAAGGGGAGTGTGTGCGTGCATTCCTGTTTCCCATTGGTAATTGACTGAATTTATTTCTCACAGGTGGTTGATGTAGCAAAGGCAATTATTAATGCAATTAAGGATCCTGATGCTAAAGGAAAAACATACGCCTTGGCTGGGTAGGTTACTTTTCTGATTCTAATTAACTGAAGTACTTCTTTTGGTGTCATTTTTTGGCATGCTGCACAGTACATTTAATTTCTCCATCCATGCACACAGTTTGAGCTGCAATAAATTCCACCTCCTTTTTGGGAGGAAAAATGACTCAAGCAAGCTGTTATTGTGAGTACTGTGAAAATCCTAGTTTGGGCCCCATAGCATTTAATGTTATGTATGTGCGCACAAAGAAATAGGCAGTCTTGGGAAACCCGCTAGACAACATAGATTGGGAGAAAATTCTACTAAAGCTGCTTGGAAACCACCTGGTATTAGAATGGATAGAGACAGTGGATCTCTTGAAATATTTTGTATACAAAAGCTCCAAGTCAGAATAGGTCATTAGCGTTAAGAATAAAAAACATGGCAAATGCCAAGGTAATGGGTCCATGTTTTGATGCTGTAACAGCACTAGAACTAGTGTTCATCCAGTATATGTGGTAAAAGGAACATTAGATTCACTGATAAAGAAAACAGTTGCTAATTAGTCAAGATACAAAAATACAAATGATGCTGAACAGCTCTTTTTTTCTATTGCATGCATATCTCTGTTTTCCCCCATTATACACTGAAAATGTGCATAAGATCAGGATTTTGCAAAAGTTTTGTCTGAGACTGTTGTTTTTTCCATGTTCATTTTGTGACGCCATTGCAGTGACAGCTCTTTATTCTCGTAGTGCAGAGATCGTTGCTGGTTCTTATTTTACTTGTGTGATGTCACTTTCTTCAGTATTGTAACTGAGTTGTTGAAGATGTTGCTCTGGCAGCTGGGCTAGGTGTGCTATATGCTGGTGTTCTGGAAAAGTCAGCAAGCAGGTCTTTGACTTCTTTTTGGATCATGCTAAGGAACTTGTGCTCAAAAACTAGCAAAATAAGAGAAAGAAGCTAACAATGGTCTGAAAGGACTACTGAGGCAACAGTAAGGCTACTGTAAGTAAATTGAAGTTGCTTTCAGATCACTGTGATGATATGAAGTGTCACACTAAAGAGCAAGTGGAAACAAATGCTAGACAGCCATTCAAACCAACTTTTTTAATCAAAGATAATAGATATATAGATGTCAGATGCACACAACTGTTGCAAAAACACAAAATGTGACAAGATTAATGCTTTGAGCGACTTATTTTATCTCAAGGGGGCAAACGTGAAAATGGGTCAATAAGTATCCAAAGCTGCCTGCCACAAAAGGAGGAAGTGCCTGTTTTTAGGTTCATCGCGCTCTGAGCAGAAGCAACTGCTCCAACTGCAGGAGAAATTGAGATTTGCACACTAAATGGGATGCTATTTGCAGCCAAATGGAAGGGCAAATGGCTAAATTTTGTATGTATTCTTACAATTGCAAAGTCTCATTTTTTTTTAATTTACGGAACGCCAGGAGTTCAGTGCCCAGGTTTCAGAGGTAGGAATTCAAGCATTGATGCCAGGCTCTTACTGCAAGGAATACAGTTTCAGGCTGTATTCCTTGCAGTGACTGAAGTGACTGAAAAGGCTTTGAATAAATGATGGTCTAAACTGAAGATCAAAATCAGTGTTGGAAAATCAAAGGAACTCTGCGGCATAACCCTTGACTAAACCTGTATGAGATGCTTTTTTTTCTTTTTTTTTTTTTCTTTTTTAAACAGAGTTCCCAGTTTGAGTTTAAAATAGTAATTTTTCAAACAAGCGTTCTCTGTCTGGTTTTGTTTGGTTGGTTATTTTTTTTTCCTTCCTTCCTGCTATATGGTGGAATAGAGTTTTAACTGTGACAGCTAGTGGTGTCATTGCTATTTCTGAATGACTGAAGATTTGGTATGCTTTTTTACCTGTTCTCCTCTTACCCCAATGCCATTGGTTTTGTTTCATCCACTTGTTAAATCTTCTGTCTTGAATGCAGATGCTCTTTAGAGCTTGCTGTCTGCTAGTATTGTGGTTAATGTAATGATACTTCAATGTGATTCTATTCTTGCTGAAGTTGTATTTTTAATATTTGGTAATTTGTAAAGGAGCAAACAATATTTATCTTATTTTCACATTTTTAAGTTTGGCTATACTTAAATGTTTCTTACATATCAGGATAAAAGTGAAATTGGCTTATACTGCCTTTGGATAGCCATGAGGATGTTAAAGTGTAAGGGCAAAAAAATTGGTAAAAATATCTGCTAATAACTAATGAAACTGAAGTTTGGTTGCTTTTTTTTTTTCTCAGCTGAGGAAGTAAATTTGACATTACCACTTTTTGCTGTGTTTCTTTTGTAAGTTCTATTGATAGAAGAAAACTTAAGACTACCATCAAAACCAAGATACTTCAGTGTAATTTCATAAATGCAGATCTCTCTCAGGTTCTATAATCCAGCCAGCTGGATGAAGTTGATAAGGAGTTTCGAGTGTTGAAGTCTTTTGAATTCTCCCAAATATGCTGACCTACCTTTAAGTATATCCAATAGAATGATTTGCTGTAATTTGCTTCTACAGACTAAAGTATTAGTAATTTGGGGTTCTGTCTTTTTTTCCAGCATCTATCAACAAATTTTGGTTTTGGTTATTAGCATTGCTATTCTTCCTGAAGAACATGTCAATTGAAGGCTCAGTTTTCATGCATGCAACCTCAGACCTTGATATCTTTGTGATCTTGGGTTTATCAAACTGAAATTAGTGTTCTTTATATCATAGTCCTGGATTTTTGGACTGCGTGAAGTTTTGCATACTTACTGAGTCTTACTCTAGCATGGTTTCATTTCTGTGGAGGTTTAGATTCCAACAGTAATTCAGTGTCTCCTATTTAAAAAACAAAAGGGAGATTGAACATGGAAAAAAACCTTTAGTCTTATTTTTAGGGGGCCCCTATCTGGGAAGTAATCAGTCTCAAGATCATTGTTGTGTCAATGAGGTCACTGCCTTAGCTGAAAAGTATAGCAAATAATTGGGAGACACACACTTCTGGTGTGTTTTTTGCTGCTTTGATCACAGTCAGCAGGATGTAGTTTTGAAGGCTGAAACACCAAGTGACACACCAGTGCTCAGCAGTGTGCTTTTGTGTGTTGTCATGAAAATTTTCAGAATGATTTGGAATACCAGCAAGTTGCCTCAAAAGCCAAGGGAGATACCTGTTTCAGTCTGAGCTGTCTATAACAGTAGAGTATTAAAATGCCAAGGCAAAGACTGAACAAGAAAGGAATGGGAACTCCCAATGGTATAGGTTTCTCTTAAACTATTGCAGGTGTGCAGAAGACTGACTGCTTCCTTCCCTCCCTCTTGAAAGGGGAATGCATTCTTTTGGGGGAATTTATCTTAGTTTCTTCCTCTTGCTTTTGAGGAGAACAGTATGTTCTTAGTTGACCAAAGGCAAGTGAGTCAATTTCCTTGCAGCCATTTGCTACCAGAGATGGGATGTCTTGTTAACAAACCTTTCTTAATTTTACCATGTGCTTTCTGGCTTCCTTCTACTACAAACTGCCAAGTGGGCTTGTACAAATTCAATCCTGTCCCAGCACTGAAAATCTTGTATTCAGAATTTGAGTCAATAGTTAGTGCATGGAAGAAGCACATTAAAGGTGTGCTTTAAAAGTACACAGAATACACTTTATTCAGTATGATTGTGGTGGGTTAGCCTTGGCCAGCAGCCAGGTGCCTACCCAGCTGCTCACTCCCCCTCCTCAACAGGACTGCAGGAGAAAATAGTATGAAAAGCTTACAGGTTGAGATAAAGACAGGGAGATTGCTTACCAGTTACTGTCATGGGCCAGATTTGACTTGGGAAAAATGAATTTAATTTACTGTCAATTAAAAAGGATTTGAATAGTGTGAAATAAAGACAAAAATAATACAACAACACCTTTTCCCCTCCACCCTTTTCCCAGACTCAAATTCAGTCCTATACTCCCAACTCCTCTACCCCCTCTCCCTGAGTGGCGCAGAGGAATGGGAAATGACAGGTTACGGGGTTGGTCTGTAACAGCTCCTCTCTGCCTCTCCTTCCTCTTTACACTGTTCCTCTGCTCCAACGTGGGCCTTTCCATGGGCTACAGTCCTTTAGGATAAACCTGCTCCAGCGTGGGCTCTCCAGGGGCTACAGGGCAACCTCTGCTCTGCAACCTGGAGCACCTCATCCTCCTCTCACCTTGGTGTCTGCAGGGCTGTTTCTCACACTTTTTTTCCTCATTCCTCTCTGCCTGTGTGGCGTTTTTGCTCTTCCTTAAATATGTTTTCCCAGAGGTGCCACCATCTTGTCTGAGGGGCTCAGCTACACCCTGTGGTGGGTCTGTTGGAGCTGGCTGTGCCCGGCACAGGGCAGCCCTGACCTCTCCACAGAGGCCACCCCTGCGGCACCACCTGCCAGCGCCTGGGCACCAGCACCCAACATGGTGATGAAACAGTTTGGCAATTTGTGACTTATACTGTTAACCATGGCTGGTGTCAGATGATATGTTTTTCTAACTTAATCCTTCTCCATTTCAAACAGTACTGAATCTGGAGAGCCAAAATTTGTTCCCCTCTCATGAGGAAAATGACAAATCTGGCAAATCATTTAGATGAAAGAAAACAGGTCCTTGGTAGGCTTGGGGGGTGGAGGGCTTTAAAGTTTTTGTCTCTTGCTGCAAATATTTAAGTATACCTAACTTACCTGTAATGTTTGCTTTTTCTTTCAGACCTAATCGATACCTACTTTATGACATGGTAGAATACATCTATGCGGTTTGCTTTAGAACCTTTCTTCCCTATCCGCTTCCTCGTCCTCTCTACCAGTAAGTGGGATCCTTCCTTCATGAAGAACTTGGGATTCACCAGGCAGCACAGAAGTATAAATAACTGTTGCATTGGTCATTTAATATTGTCAATTGTTGTTTAATGCGGTAGGATGGTAGAAACTGGCTTTCCCTAGGTACTTATTAGCTAGCTTGAGTCTTTTGCTCAGGTACAGGCTTGCATTTGATAAGCTAGTGTATGAAAGGTGTACTTGTAATAAACTTAACATAGCTATCTATTCCAAAGTCATTGGATGGAGTCAGGAAGTAGCAAAAGGTCCGAAGTAGAGACAATCAGTAGCAAACTAAATAAACTTTTAATAGTACCACAGGAAAACATGTGTCTGTTGCAGACTGTAGGCCCTGACAGATTTTTCTTCAGCAGCTTAAGGTACTGCTACTGTCAACTGTCCTTCCAGTCTGGTGAGCACTGCCACCTTGGAAGCAGAGTTGGGATAAGGGTGGGTATGGGTATTGATCGACTTTCTAGTTCAGTCCTTTGTATTGATTTGAGCCAGTGTTGGAGATAAATTTGTATTGAGATGTTGGCCTGGGAATTTGAGCAGTGCGGTTTTGAGCCCGCATTTCTTTGTCTGTGTTATGAGGGCAGTAACATCTTTTAGAAGATAGTCATAAATAGGGAGGTAGTAAGAGAAAGGTGTAGCATCACTTCAGTTGACAACAGTGGATGGACTGCAAAGGTTGTGTTTGCCTGCACTGAACTTCTGCAGCCGTATGTTTTGGCCTCAGGGGGCACTGAGGATAGTAGCTGATTTGCTGAATTGCAGCTACTGAGTAATAGTGCATGAAAAAGTACAGTATAAATCTGGTCCTGGTCCTTAAGGCACATCCTTTTGAAGAGCTACCTCAAACAGCAAATGCCATTTCAGAGGCCTCAGCATGATTGAGAGATGTTGATGTTTGGGGTGCTGGTCCTCCTCAATTTTAGTACAATGCAAACTAATAAGCTAAAAGAGTCACCTGTGTTTGAACCCTCCTACTAATTGCTAATAGAACTCGACATTGGATTCATGTAACTGATAATGAATAATACTGGAACAACATCTTAAACTGTTGTGGCTGTTTCTGAATTGGCTGTAAAGGCATCAGGTAAACACAGCTCAGCTGACACAGAGCAGCTTGTTAAAAAGTAACTGTGGGTGCTTATTAATTTTATTTACAGTTGCTGCAGTCCATGTTATGCTTTTTTCTTTATTGGCTAAACTAAGTGCTATTTCATATTTTTGAGTAGAGAGGATGTGTGAAAGGCGATAAGCCTAGGTCTGTTTATGTGCAGTAACTTAGTAACAACCTAGTCTATCAGATGAGCACTTCAGTAAGAGATTCTACCTTGACTACTACTGGTCCTGAGACACTAAGCAAGAACTGTAGTGTTATTCTGTGATTCTGTTATTTTCTCTGCCAGATTTTCTTTCTTTCAAGGGAAACTTGATTTTTGGAAGCTGCAAATATACTAATCCTCAACCTTTTTATAGATGCAGATTGCTCCAGATTCCATCATCTTGTTTGTACGGCTGCTAAGTCATTTAGTTGTCAGCAAGCATGTTTTCTCATGGAGGCACTGAATCAAACTTTGTGACTAATTGGATTACTGCCTGCACTACTAGGGAACAGAGTTTGAAGGGAAGGCAGGGGCAAGACTGAACCCTCTGGTGTGTGGTGAATTGGATGTGGAGGTTTTATTTTCCAACACACTAACGCTCATTTTTACTTCTAGGTATCTGCTCCTCCATTCCCTTCCAAAGTGAAAGAATAGGAGATCAAATAGTTCAGTAGCGTGCAGTTAAAGTTACCAGAAACACATCTAAGAACTTGCTGGCTGGCACGTTCAGTGCTTTAATGAATGCATGCTTGCAAGAACAGCTATAGAAGAAGCTCTTGCTCCCTGTCTATTAAGTGTGAAATATTTTTACCAGTTCTTGGGTTTTTTTCTGTGCATCTGGATAATGACTATACCTTTGCAATACTCTTTCTGATTACAGTTTAGTTGCAAGATTCTTTGAGATCAGTCCATTTGAACCATGGTTAACACGAGACAAAGTGGACCGGGTAAGTGTAAGAATCCAAATTCTTGGAAAACATCTCATTGTGTATTTGTAACTTGCACTTGTAGTTTTGCATTCAAGGAGTGCTGAAATATTTGTACATCATGTGCTGTAGTATTTCAGTCAGGTCAATGGCTAGAATTTGATTGATGAAGACTTGCTTTCAGACTGTTTGGATACTACAAAAATCTAATTCTTTAAAGGTGTCTATATATAACCTTCCTCAAAAATGGTTGTGGTTCCTGCCACACAATTGCTGCAGCTACTGTTCTGCAGTCTCGCTCTTAACTTATTTGTCCAGACCTGTTACAGTGCCAAGGGGATACACTGTCAAAGGGGTCTGGAGATTCCTCTGGTGTAGTCTTACAAAGACTTAGTAAGAGAGAGGGACTAACAGAATTTTTTTTTTTTTAAAGGCATCATAATGTTGTAGTCTTCCCGCTAGCATTGGTGGAGTAAGAATAGTTAACATAGTTCTTTAAATACGTTTAAGAAAGCAGTTGAAACAATTGATGACACAGTTATATTGCAAGACGTAACATGAGGGGGGAGGGAAAGGGTCCAAGCTTCTTAAGTGTTAAGTGGTGAAGGCTGCATGCTTGGCTGTGCCTCCAACCCTTTCCCCAAAACACATGCTATTGAAAATAGCAAAGCCAAAATTGGATGCACAATGTGCAGCTAACTAATGCAGGGGAGCGCTCCCCACTTCTAGGTAACTAGTGAGTTTATGTACCTCTAGATGCATTAAAATCACTTATACCATCTAATGGCAAATTTAACAACTCAAGTTGAGGTGACAGCGCTGGATACAGCCCAAATTCTTTCTTAGCGTTAGAATGCATTTCTTGTGAACATGTTACAACTTCATGTTTATTTGTAACTTCTCAGAGTGTTTAAATGGGAGTGGAGAAATAACTGGCAAAAAACTGACTGCATAGGAGGGAAAAACTGGTGATTTAGGAAGTATTAATGTCAAAAGTGTTGGTATATGTGTAGGTTAGCAAAGATAGGGTCATGCATTTTGACAGACTCTAAGCTTGCTGCTCTCTGAAGGTTGCAGGCACTCTCCCAAAAATTTTGCAGAGTTGTTTTATTGCCTTGTTTATGATGCAGTATCAATAGCCTATTTTCACCTGATTGTCCCCAAATTAATTTGTGACAAGGTACTACCGTGGATCTGAGAGAACTGGGTCCTATACTTAGAGCTGCTTACTGAATAGCTGTAAGCAAATGATTTCTATGTTTACATTTCTCCATCTGTGAAATAAACCAGTTTCCTATTCTGTTTGGAAATAATTGTGAAAAACTGGACAGTATGTGTAATAAAGGAGTTAAGCTTATTTACATTCTAGTGCAGATTCCCCCATTTCCCCATACTAGAGAGAGCTGGCGTTGTAGTTCTGTTGGCTGTATTGACCCAGGATGTAGATGTAACATCTCTTGAAAACCTTACTTCTAGCTGCCTTTGTAGTTTATAGAGTTACATTTCATAAAATCAGCCTGCACCAAATCACTAAAACTACTGCAATTCAGCTGTAGCGTGGGTAGCGTAAGAGGAAATTTCTCCATGACACTTCTGTGTCTGATTGTTCCTCTGTTCCCCGCTTTTCATTCTGAAGTAATCTACATAAAATTACATGTGGTTGACTTAAAGACCTTTCAAGGAATAATAGCATAAGAGAAATGCCCATTTTCTAAGATTTATGTCATACGTGCTGCAAATATGGTAACAGATTTAAATATTTGTCCTGTACAGGACCCTGTTGTAAATCATGAACAGAGAAAAACAACCTACCAAAGGTGATAATTCAACATACATTTTTCTTGACAGAGCAGAATGTATGTAATTGTAGTGCAAATATGCACTTACAAGTTTGGCCTAATTTTGTGGTTGCAATGTAGTAACGTATACCTGATGAAGAGAAAACGAAGACACTTTTTGCATGCCTCACTGCTATTTATTCCTGACTCTAAATCTGAAGCCTGAAAGACTTTGCCAGATGCAGGACATCTGTGTCTCCTGTTGAAGTACACTGGTTACTCAATACCTTGTATTATTATGCCATAGTTCTGTAGGCCACACTGAATCTTTTCCTCCTCCCAAATACAAACACTGAGACCAAATTATGATCAAGGAACTGGGATTGACATGTAGCTGGCTGAGTCCACATTTGTGTTTGAATAGTTCTTCAGATCAAGTACAAGATGCAGCACTGCATTGTATTGGGGGAAACATTCTTACATCAGCAGCCTTGACTTGCAGTAGAATCTCCAAAGAGCTGCTATTTGTCAAAAATTGTTTTGAGATTTATTAAAATGTTTCTAGTACTAGGAATTTGTGCTAGTTTGTTTCGGTAAAAGAAAAAAAGGTGACCTCAGGTATAAGTACACAATAATTTTTTTAGTATGTGAATAAGTGCATTGGGTGTAATGCGGTTCATTCTATCAAGTGAATTCCCTCTTTTTTTTTTTTTTTTTTCCTTCTTTTTAAAGTTTCACACAACAGACATGACGTTTCCTGATCTTCCTGGTTTGGAAGACCTGGGTATTCAACCAACATCACTAGAACAAAAAGCAATTGAAGTTCTGCGCCGTCACCGCAGATACCGCTGGTTGGAAGCTGAGCTGGAGGAAGCAAAACCAGCCAAGACATATCCCATGTAACAGTTGATAAGGTGGTTACTTAACACTTCTTAAACTGCCTTTGTATGACCCAATTTGTTTGGAAAACTGTGTACATACTGAGTAAAGTATATTAATCATGTAAACTATATTTCACCAGTGTTGTCTTTTTAATTATGAAAGACTCTCATTGGAATGCAATTTTTCCTCTTTAAAAGGCCATGAAGACAAATTTACATATTGTTGTTTAGCTCACGAGCATTAAATTATTTTGAAGGTGTCTTAACACTAGTCAGTTTCTCCCTCGGCTCTCAAAACAAGTGTATCACTGGGTTTTAGAGAATGCTCAAGTGATTTGTAGAACATTGCAATTCAGGACTATGTGGCCTAGAACATATCCTTGCCAACAGGGAGAGCTGGTACTGCCGTGTGTTCAGGTCGTGAAGTCTCAGGTAAAACCCTGTTTTTAAGTTCTTGACTTTTCTGAGCTTTGTTTTCTGTCCAGAGCAGAACTGTTATAGAAAATGCCAATTAAAATGACACAAGCTGTTTCTAAGGTCAAGGAGCGTCAATCAGACATGTAAAGAAGTTACTACGTGTCATCTGATCTCTTGTGATAATTTTGTGTGCTGTGGCTCATAGACATGAGGAAATGTGTCACTTCTTCCATTTTTAAATGAGAAAGTCTCATTAATTTTAGGTGCTCCAAGCTTTTATGTGCTGGGACATCATCTTTCTTTTGGTAAGAGGGATAAGCTTTGCTTCAGGTTTAAATATTTTCAGTCATTTTAAGATCAAAGAAAGATCCCTGCCTGAATTTGATCAAAACGTGTGCTTTCTGTTTCCATACTGAAAGAGCTGCTGGAGGCTTTTGGTTAAATTTGGCAGCTTGGGTGCAGCTTAGAGCCGAGTAAGTCTGTGCACAGGATTGAGCAGAGATCTAGATCCTCTATATGCAGTGCTTCAAGATGTGCAAGAAGACATTTGTTGAATCAAGGAGTGAGCAGTTAGTTCTGGTAGTGCGCCAAATCACATTAACTAGGATGCATTAAGATTGGTGAGGAAAATGAGGCTGAGAGGGTATAAAATGAGTAACACAACATTCTGTGTTTTCACCTCTCAAGTTTCCTACTACTTGCCTTTGTTGAATGTGAAATTGGAGGGAAGGAACTGGGACAAGTTGGACAAATGGGTATCAAAGGTGGAAGTCTAACGGTGGGGAAATCTGAAGTGGAGACTGGGGGAGAATAGGTGATGAAAAAGAGTAGCAAAGAGAGAACAGACATTGCAAAGAACAAAAAGGTCAATGTTAGGCAAAGTGCAGAAGTCTCTTGATTAAATCGCACTGATTGCTGGAGACAAATATCAGAATCTCACTATTTCTCTGTTGTTGCCAAACTACTGTGAAACCCCTGGGCGGAGTGTTTCATTAATTTCAACAGCTTCCATGTTTTGCTCTTCCACTTAAAACCTACAGTGCTATGTTTACTCTCTTGGGAAGAGTTAGGCTCTTCCG